CGTGTTATGCCTGAGTCGCAACTGCGCTGTCGTGTAGGTTCGCGTTAGGGCGGACCGGAGCTTTCGTCCGATGTCATTTGCCACGTGGTCCCCCTTGAACGGCAAGAACAAATAAACATTCTTTTTCTCAGCCGTCAACACCGGTGTTTTCACGCTGGGAGGTCTGCTGTGTACCTGAATAAACTTCTCAGGATATCCACTAGAAACTAAGGTCTTGCGTAGAAATTCTTCTTCGGCTTGTAACGTTTCGGGGCTGCAAATACGTCTAGCCCGGTAGAAGCGAGTTTTCACTAATCCGCGTTTGTATGCGATCGGGCGAAGCTTGAAAAATGAAGGTACTGCCCAGTCCAAGTCGATTTGCGGTGAACAGTGCGCTGCAACGTACCTTCAGCCTGTCGCCTAATGAATATATCCAAAAACGCCAGGCAATGGTGCTGCTCCACTTCATGGGATGCCGACAGATTAGGGTGAATCGAATTTAGGACGGTCAGCAGCAAGTTGTCTTTCTATCAGGCCGAGGAAGATGTCGGCTAAAACTGGTCCCAGCGGGCTGCCCATAGCGACCCCGTCGATCTGTTTGTATGCGGTCCCCTCAAATTCAAACCGTATGTTCTCGGTGCACAATAGAATCATATATTTAAATACTCCACTGGCATGCCAACAGAGATATTTTGACTCAGGATAAAATCACATAAATAATCAACCGTCTCACGTAAAGGCACATTGGTGAATAAGGAGTCCACATCTATTGAGTACATAAGCTCTGCACTCAGTGACAATGGTTCCAGTGTCTCAGCTAGTTCAAAGGAGTCTTTCAGGCAATACGTAGCAAGGAGTTTACGCACTGGATCTAATAGTTTGGCCAGCCACCGTGCGACATTGTGATAAGGTGAATTGTTCATGCACTTAATCGGACGTAGCGGAAATCCTGCATTGTGTAACTTGGGTGCGCCTCGCGTTCTATGTGTCTGTGTCCCGGTCGGTTTTAAGTGCCTGTACTGTGATTCATTGCTGTAACCATGGGACGAATCTGGGAATCAATCGGAGCCCTGCATCGTCTATCACCAAGCCCCTCATGACAACCCGTCATCACGTGAACCCTGAGACAGCGTTCAAAGTGTTATTACGTAACAAAAACCCAATAATGCTAGCAATTAGAGAGGCGTTGTTAATTAAGGCTTATCAACCTGTGCTATGTGCACAGAAACTCTTGAGGCAATCAATTCAGTTGCCATGGTCTTGACTGTGACATTTTGATTGGTGGTGCCCCCTTTTTCTGTGTATATAATCCCTTATGTGTTTCTGATGGTATTGTGTTTGCGACTGATGAGAACAATCGAAATGTTGACATATCGCAACCTCTGTCTTCTCTCTGCCTTATCGAAATACTACTTTCAACCTACATCGTTAAAATGGCCACAAAATATGTATCTCCTTCCTACCACATCAGCCGCAGTATTAACTGGTAACCCTTCCGTCAAATAATGCGATCCTGCGATTGGGATATCTTCTTCCTCTCCAGCTATGCTTGCACTGCCGTGGAGCAGTTCTATCCTTAGTTTCAGCAAGACATATCCCTCGTTGCTGTACAAGAAAAACTAATCAGTGAAGTTTGAGAGGATGCAGCCAAATGTTTAATGAGTCAGAAATCCAGCAAAGCGATAGCGCGCTAAAAGTAATATGGGATACTTGCTATTTTTCAAATATATGGGATATTTTACAATGATTCCACCGATGCACCTACTCAGCTCTGAAATCAAGCATTTTCAATTGATTGGGAGAACACATGAGGATCGAGCAACCCTACGAATGAGATATAAAGCAAAAGATCTGGTCAGCTTTCGCCGTCGAAGTACAAACAAACGCTTTTTATTGATCACGGAACTGATTAACGACATCCAGGCGCATTTAACTCTTTTTTCTCCACCTACATGACCCTTGACACTAACGCTTTAATTTAAAAAAGGCTCCATCTAAAGCGCTATTACTCTCCCCAATATCCGCCAAGCAACACATTCTATTCAACTGTGCTCAATTCTGGAACCTGCTGGCAACCCCCCCCCCCCATCCGCCATGAAACTGGGAGGGCCTGATATGTCACTGTTCTTTTTGTATATGTTTTGTCTGTATATGTTTGGGATCCAAGTACTTTACAGATCAGTGGAATACTTCAAGTAGCCCCTCGCGACAAGGGTTGCGCAAAACAGGAGATTGACAATTACAGGCCAATCCATAACACTAATTTAATAGTCGGATTATTCGTGAAATTGGTGAAAAAGTGTGAAGAATTTCATCAGTTGACTGGACCTGATAGACAGGCTCTACAATAGTTTCCTTGCCCAACGCTCGTACACATTTCGGTAGTTGCATTACCTGAACTACATACCAGACTCCATCTACTCATATTAATTCTATGCTTGGACGCGCAGAAAACATTCCATAGGATGACTCATACACGTTTACGGATTCAAATAGCTTTTTTGAAGTCCGAAACGCATTGTTGTGTTGGCTATCCTGATAAATGAACGGTCCCGCTAAAATGGCCACCTTAGACGACTATTGCTCTTCCTCGCATCCAATTACCAGCAGCGTTAAACAAAGATGTGCGCTCGGTACGTTAATTTCACTTCTTTGTGTCAATGGTAGCACTTCGGTGAACAAACATGGTGTGCCGTATTTATTTGTCGATGATATAACACTTGTCCACATGTACCGAGGATTTGAGCTACCGAAGGTACTACCTTCATTCGCTTGGTACTTGGTGCGACAAGTGGATGATGACGTTTTAAGCACCACAGTCAACTATCATATGTCGCGGTCGCTTGACACCTGAATTATCTATCACACGTAACAACAAACGCATCTGTGTACAACGGTCTACTCGTGACCATGTGGTCGGATATTCTTCTGCCTTTATGTTCTTAGAACAGATTGATGACCAGCTAGCACGGGATTTTACTAACATGTCTCATAGCATGCATACAACGACAGCTAAAGTTGAACTATTCAAGACCCTTAATCGACATATCCTGGAGTACCGTAGCATTCTCAGAGCAATATGAGGAAATCAGACAGAACCTCGATAGGAAGCCTTCAATGGTCATTTACTAAGCACGTATTAGGAAAATGTTCTATCATAAATTAGCTGGAGCGATGCCCGCAAAGTCATCTAGATCCGCTTTGGCTAGGAAGACTAAAAGATAACTGGAGACTTCTGCATAATGTGATTCATGAGCAATACCAATTGCAATCGATTCACCTTAACATTGAAACACAATTACACGCGAGACCTAGTTAAAAAATATCTTACCCTGATTATACCACGATGCAAGACAAATGTGCGGTCTTACTTTGAGCTCCCCATATATGCTTCTCTGTAGAATCGATTGCCCCTAACCATCGTGTGAGACTGCAATTCTTTCGCAGTAACTTGGAAAGCTACCTCTATCTGTACACCATTATGTCATTTTTTGGTGGGAAAGATCATTTGAAGATCCATTTAATGGAAGTCCGGATAACGTCTAATGTGGGTAATCTCACCAATTCACCCAATGTAATTAGTCCTCCGTGTCTACAACATACTCAAACTGCACATTTGCCACCTACCATCACATAAGACAAACCTATGGGTCACATACCTTGCCAGAAATGCAGACAAATATAAGAAGATAACTTGATAGTGCTCTTGCAAGAGCAGGACATCACCAGTGCGTGTACGTTCCGTACCAAATATTGTCACTGCTTTTCACCTGCTGAGAAATATGCTCATTATTATTATTATTATTACTAATATTATTATTATCTTCATGCGATATATTGGTTCGTCCAGAGGTAATACTAACCTGGAGCCTAAAGGTACCACTGGTACTGTGTACCTTGGACCGATCGCATATTGTGCGCTCGATACCTTACGGACTGCTCAGACAAGCGCTGGAAATTTGGCAGAGGGACACCGGCTACCGGCCGGGTCAGAATACGAACCAATGGTAAATCTTACCGACATAAGCTCTGTTAAAAGGCGCTGAGGGAGAACGTTCAAATACCTAATCCTAGGTAGACCAGCTACAGTCAGGCGTAATGTCGCTGATCTATAGCACTGACACTCTCATCCCTGTCTGCCTTCCGTTAAGACCAATGTGTCAACCTACTCGGGAGCATACCTGTCCCCATAGACGCATAGTCCTAGCGCTGTGCTTACATCCAGGAGTTCCCACTGACTGATGTTCCATGACCAATGAGAGTGTCACTGATAGTGTGTGCACGTAACGCCTCAGGGAGAAAATGAAATGATGCCCGCGTGAACTTGCATAAACAACACACTATTTTCAACTTTTAGCAAGCTACCTTACTAGCACTCTGCTTGATGTTGCCTGTAAAAATTTATAGGTTTCTACGACATGCGTGGCTAACATATTCCAGACATAGGTGGCAAATTGCTATAAGCCATTATCGCTTAAGGAACAACGTTGTTCGGTTGCACATCTATAGACAAATATCTTCTTTTGCTTGCTAAATTCGCCATCCTTTATCAGTGAGTTAATTCATACAAAGATACATACGCATCTGTTTGTTGAAAAAGGGATTTATGGATAGCCATTCTTTGTTAAACATATGTATAATATCCAGATAAACGAAAACACCACTCAACTGCTCTAGCAAAATTTGCGGATGGCTCTCACTGTGGACGCCTTGTCATAAGTCTTATCGTTCTAAGTGCAGGTGATACGAGATTTCATAGTAAATTCATGGTCACATACATGTTTCAATATCAATGAACGATAGTATATAGCCATTTCTTCTTACCACCATGGTAGGGCGAACAGCACCCCTATTCGATCCACTGAAAGATGGAATGGCAGGGAAAATTCTGTTTCATTTCTAAGGCGTCTAAAGTTTTACCGTTTTACTAGAGCTATACTGGCCGCCCGATTGATACTAACTTTGGTTCACCTGACGGAAGTAAATCAGCGTATATTTATTGAACATCTAATCTTTCACAGGGCTTATATTCGACAAGGTTTGAAGCAACAAATGTTGGAAAAGTCACTACGGATGAAAGAAGAAGAAAGATGTTCCAAAAAAGAAGGTAAGTCTCTATTTAACTCACTTGGATGTGACGGATTTTAGAAGCGGAGCAGATAAACCAGTTCTGCAAAAAATTTGACGAGGCAGTGGATAGCGAGCTAAAAAGGCGACGTGCGTTTCTCCAACAGTTTCGAGAGGCCAACAAGCAGGTGAGTCAGATCAAGCTAGTTTCAGAGAACGATGCCGTACTCGGTGTGTATATCTAGTTGTTTGGGACGCTGACAAGTGCTTTGAACTTTACGTGCCAGATACCAATGCAGGCAGCATGACGTCGCACTTTGTATTGTGCAATGCCCAGCCGTCTCTGTCTTAAGCAACATCAGAATAACCACCCCGTTGGGCTGCAGTGTTTGGGGGTTGTTTGGGGGGGGGGGTTGAGGGTTCACCCATTCCTTTTAGAGCCGTCGACTAGAGTGCCCCGTGGTTCCAAGCTTATATCTGATATCAGATGTACACTTCTTGGCCTTTTGTGTGCACCGATTTCTGACACTTGGATCATGCATGGTTTAGGGCAGCCATTCTCAAAGGGAGCCATATGGCCCCTTAGGCGCCATCGAGAATGCTTCGGGCGGCTCATGGGATGAGAAAAATGGTTATGGGGGCCATGGGGAGTCATGTGTGCACTAATGTTCCCTGCTAACTACCGGTAAGTAAAATGCATTATGCGCGGGCAAGCGACAGTTTACGGAGGTGTGAAAGCCAGGTAGGTCAGACTTCATGTTGCGAAGCTGACATAGCTCCTGCAACTGACGAGCCGCAGACACCATATCGATCGTGCTGCAACCCGAAGGAAATCTACATTGCTCTTCCGCGACTGTCGGTTCCACAATCTGATTGACGAGGTGGTTGAGCAGCAGTCGGGCAAACAGATTCCCCACACAACTCATCAAGTTGATGCCACGATAGTTCGTGCAACATTGCTTGCTCCGTTTGCACAAGGGCATCCTTCAGCTCAGGAGGCACTCCCTCCTCAATCCACACGCGTTGCACCAAGTTGTGCAGAGCATTCACCAACGCGCGTCCGCCTTGTTTCATACGTCATACCGCACCGGCACACTTGCCGTTTCGCAACTGCTCAAGCGTTCTTTTGCGTCTCATCCACTGTCGGCGTGTCCGCCAGACTCATCTTCACCTCGTATTGTTTCAGGCCGATTAAGGTAGACCAGTCAATCACTGAACAGCCAATGTGTTTCCGCCAGATCTGCATTATGTCTGCAGTCTGGGTTCAGGTGGCGCCTGAGCTACCATCGATTGGCGTCCTCAGTGGCTGCAACCTGGGTTCACACTCCGACTTCAAGGAGTCAAAGAATATCTTGGGTTGGCAGCGTTCTGCGTAGCATTCCAACTGCTTCGCCTACTCCATCCACCATGCAATTTTATGCGACGAAGCTCTCGGGTCATTCGCCGTGGAATTTCGCGAAACTGACTGTTCTCTACCGAATCACTGGGGTCTGCGACATGTGCAACAAATGCTACCTACTGCCCCGCCACCAGTGCGTCAATCGTCGCATTATTCCCATCAAACCAATCAGGCCGCTTACAGTTTGCGCGCCCAATGGTCTCCTGGGCAGCAGCTATCACCTGATCGCAAATGTGATGCCACAGGTCGCCCACTGTAGCTATGCATTCTACTTCGCCCAGACGTGCAGTCATCACGTTGCATAGCTCAATACCTTTCTCCCCACTACTAAGAGATAGGAAGTTAAATTTACACCGAGGCACTGCGGGAGTTCAACGCATAAATTTAAATAAATAGATAAAAAAATAAAGGTTTTATTCGCGGCACGACTGCGAAGGAAGGAGCATGATAATACCAACACGCATGGTTGGTAATTGTATAAAAATATAGCAAATTAACCCGTAACCTGCTGGATGCGTGTGTCTGTATATATGTAAGTGTCCGTGTTAGTTGGCTTAATGAATGAACTTGTGAAATATGACTGAACGCGTGAGTCGGTTTGCTGTGTTGGCCATCGTATGAAGAGATCAAAGGTACTCTTCGAACTGGATGACGTATGTGAAGTGGGGATCTTCCGGAAGGGGAAGAGACAGTGACTATATTTAGTGGCGGTCACATCCGCCAAGTCTCCGTGTAGTTAGACAGCACTATGTGGCTTCGTAAGAAAGAACGCTTACCAAGCGGAAAACCACCACGTCCTGGAACACTGCCGCCGAACTATCCGCTGGAACTTGATTAACCCGAACCACTCAGCTGACACCACATGGAGTTGGTTCGGATAGACAGCGATATGTACAGTTTAGTCTGCACCAATTTGGGATCAGTGCCACACTCAGCTCTACGCAGTACACGTGTCATGCGCACTTTACGCATATCACGCTGACGTACGATGACATAGTCGAGCAGGTGAGCGTGACCACTCCGTGGGTACGTCCAAGCTGCTATATCACTCGCACTCAGTGCAAACCGAGTGTTCGTGACCGTCAGGCCATGAGTGGCACCTAGTGAGAGAAGCTTGTCGCCGTTCGCATTCGCTGATCCAACGTGATGCGGACCGATAACATCTGTCCACACTGATGCATCAAATCCAATGCGCGCGTTGAAATCCCCCAGCAGAAATAGTCGGTCGGTCCTCGGCACAGACCGTATGACGGAGGATAGCTGAGTGCATAAAATTGATCACACGTGTCATCAGGATAACACATAGTTGGACCGTACGGGCTTATAAACGTGGTAAACTTACCGCTTCCGACTTGTAGACGAACAGTCATCAGTCGCGCGCTGATACAGGTTGGTTCACCCACCAGCTGGCCATAGAGGCGATCAGAAATCACAAATCCGACCCCCTGTTCACGTGGTGTTGAGGCGGATTTGCCCACCCAGTAGAATGTGTAGCCAGCACCTGCATCATGCAACTTACCTTGCTCAGTGCGCTGAGTCTCATTGAGCGTCGCAATATCGATGTCGTAGCCCGCCAGTTCCATCGCGATCAGTGCACTGCGTCGCGCAGGGCGCTCATTCGATTTCCGGTCCAGTAGAGTGCGCACGTTCCAGCACCCGATGCTGAGTGCTTTACGCGCAGGCTTTCGATTGCATTGGTGGGCAATCGCAGGCGAGTTGGCGGTTTCGATTCCAAGGTTTGCTTGAGGGATTCTACCAGGTGCCTTTCGTTGGAGAGCCTGACCCATAAGGCAATGGTTGGCACATCTAGCTCAAGAATCTGATTGCAGAGACAGATTCGTATTTACTTGAGGTCTGTCACACGCAGTCTTTGGAGATCTGGAACAATTCATTTACGTTTAGCGACCGTAGTAGGATGCGCAACGGATGCAGGTGGTTTTTGGTGGGCTTGCACCAATTTGACCATGGTCTATCTGGCTTGAGGTGGACAGTAGCAAACTGTTGAGCACGCGGAAGTTCACTCCCACTGTCAGAGACTGCGTGGCGCTCGTGCTCTCCGTCAATCGAACAGTGAGCTTATACCCCATAGACCAATTGTTGCCCATGTCTAGTTTTTACGGGAAGAGAGCCATTGACCACTTCCTAACCTCCGAAGAGAATGGACCTGGGTACTGCCAGGGCTCCCACAAATGACAGAAGAACGACTCGGGTCCTCATCCATAGTCTTCAATTGAATGTACACCCGAAACGCAGCTGGTCTATCACATGGTCAGTTCACTAACTCAAGCCGTTTGGTGTCCTGCTTCTTAGCATGGAGAAGGGCGTAACCAAACTCCCACCTAGCGGTGGCCGTGTGAAGGTGTGCAGGACATGAGCCTATGCCACAATAATAGCAGCAGTGGGTAGACCATTTGGCATGATCTAGCCAGCACCATCCTCAGTGCACCATAGGCTCCGTGGAATACCTGTCATTTTGATTTATCGTATCACCACACAATCCGCTCTATCTATGTGTTTTATTTCGTAGAATACTCTTTCAAAAGAAATTATACGAGCAAGTATACGGAAAAGGCAGTTGGAAAGTGTTCATCATAATCAATTAATAATAATAATAATAATAATCAGTACACCTTAGCTGAGGTTGAGAAACACACCTCGGCTAATGTGTCGCAATGCAAATAGATTAGAGTCCTAAATTACACTGCAAAATTAGGATGGTAAATATTATGTTACGCATATTGCATGAGATCTGGATTGCAGGAGGAACCTAAAGATAGCATGATGGACAAAGAAACTCACACCACAAACTCCACTGGGGTCGGCTTTTTGCCATCTCAATAAGCGTGTTCAACCAAACGTGTTCCTTGTCCTTAGGACCCCAGCCAGGCTATCGGATGCACGAACTGACGCCAGTTTCCAAGTGAGCGTTTTCATTCCTCTCGACCAAGTCATCACTAGGACTCCTTCCTCCTCTTCCGACCGCATCCCTGGCGCGCAAACAATGCACGTCGTGGGAGTCGGTGTGCTGACATGCGCAACATGTGGCCCGGCTTTTGGAGCCTGGAGCATATCATGGTGCTGAGCGGTTCACTCGCTCTTCCTGCACCAAATACGCGAAGCCGAACACGCTCATTGCTTACGCGGTACTCCCACCAGACATGAGCTAAGTTGCCAAGGCAAGAATGGGACGAGCCTCTATGTCTGTCGATCTGATGGGCCAGGTTTCACAACCATATAAGAGGGTTGAACAGACGGTTACGTTATAAACTTCGCCGTTCAGGGCGAGAGTAATGTCGCGTCTGCACCACGGTTGACGGAGATTGGAAAAAGCACCTCGAGCTTTTGCTATACGGTTCGTTACCTCATCTTCGATCCCCCTGGCGCTAATATAGCTGCCCAGGTAGTTGAATTCCTGAACGACTTCTAGCTGATCATAACCAAGCGTTAGTGCGGAGGTGGATCCCTGCCAATCTTGGTGAATAACTTCGCATTTTGATGGAGGAAGCATAGCACCAAACGACAGCCAGCCAGTGCTAATCGGTCCAGTGGTGCTTGGTATGTTTGGTAGCTGTCACAGATTAGGGCAATATCGTCCGCGTACTGCAAGTCAAGAAGTCGCTCACCAGGAAGTAGCTCCACACCTTCTAGGTCATGTCCATAGAATACAGTTTCCATGACTTCATCAACTGCAAAGGTAACTAGGAAAGGTGACAGCGGGCAACCTTGTCACATGCCGCTGGGGATATTGAAGGGCGGCGCCCGAACTATGCACATATAGCGGGTTGATAA